TAGAAAATTTAAATATACTTATTTAGAAAGCTAATAAAGCAAACACTCCTGGTCACTAAACTCTATTTCTTTTACTGCATCTCATTTAAAAATACATACATTGCTCTCACTTCCCAGAGAATGTAAATTGTGTATATTACCAAAGTACTACAGCACCTCTTATAAAATGCTATCTGTTCACAATTATGGTAAAGGAAATTCTGACATTTCTAAATTGTTGTTACCATCTTTCATAAACTGTCTTAGACTTCAAATTAATTTTTTAAAAACCTAATCTAATTTTTGAGGTTGCATGGTAGAAAAATAACATTATGTCATTTTAAACAACAACTATAAGGGAAATCCTACAACTTAAATTTCTCACCTATAATTATATTCATGATAAAGCACTTCTTGGGAACTCAAGTCCCAATATGACACACAAAATCTTATCCAAACAAGAGTTAGTCACAGAAATTAGATCTATTTTAGTTCCCGACTATAAACCTTGTAAATTTTGCCTACCATCCATAAAAGCGGGAGACAGAAGGCACAGCTATGGAGAGTATAGGACCCAGAACTCTTCACAGTCATTCACTTTTTTCTTCTTTCTATCATCTTTCAAGTAAGTACAAACTGTTTTTGATTCAAGATAAAGCACTTCTTGAAAATTTTAACATGTAACTAAAATTGTGTGTAAAACTTCCAGTGAAATTTAGTTTGTGAAACCGTACAAAAATCCCTCATCAGTTTTAAAGCAGTAGCTTTCTGAAACTCTGATAATGGATGAATTAATCTATTAAACAGAAATGAAATGAACCCACCTAGAGTCCATAAATTTGAGTAAAATTATAGTTATACTGATTTAAAACAAAATCAATATACTAAAGAGTAATATTTCTGTATACATCCTTTAATGAATATCTGTTGGAAACACACAAAGTGGCAGAAAAATCTCTTTAACAGATGATACATGCAGTACCCCCAAAACATAGTTCTAGCAGCACCATAAGAATATATTATCTAAACATTAAAAGAATGTAAATATAATCAGTGTTTAAAAAAACCTTTTTTTCCATTAAGATAACCAAAATGTTATTAAAATTTGTCACTATGAAAATAGCTTCACAAACTAGTAATGCCTATGTATCTGTTCTGGACTCTCAGAAATATGGTAACAGCACTTACTGACCAACATATCCCTGTATATTTGGGAGCCTAAATTTACAGCAAACAAAATAAAAAGTTTTAGTTTTCAGTGTTATGTTCTAACACCAGGATATTAATAAAATTAACTATCTCCAAGAGAATTTTAAATCCTAAAAGAAAAAATCCCAGGTTTTCTTCTTATTAAGAGCTAACAAGTAAATTCCAGAATTCTATACAGTCAATGCTATGAAGACAATAACTTCCTGGAATGAGAAAACAAAACCTTCACCCATTTGTATATATTGGTCTATTATCATAGACCTACTTTATTTAGTAGATAGTTAATCCAAGACCAAGGTCTCAAAGAATGCCCTGAACCCTTCAGTGGGTCAGTCCCAAAATGATTTTTATCATTTAGGTTAAAAAATATTTTAAGAAAATACAGGAATTTAGATAAAATGTAATGCCATTTCCTCAAAGATATCAGTGAATATTTTTATCCTCACAAACTCCCTCTTTTACATACCCTAAACTTTAAAAAAGCATTTAAATAAATACATTATAAATGTGTTAGTTTACTGAAACTTATTTAGTGAGAATGTTTTTGCATAGTTTATGGCAAGGGCATAAAACAGTACTTGAGCATTTGACTAAGGGGTATTGAACAGCTCATACATTTCAAAATTTAGTTCAGCAGTATAATTAAAATCAAGGAAAAGAGTAAATAATTCAAGGGAACCCGATAATGCCACTGAATTAGAGAATATAAAAAGCTGTACTACCCTAGTAAATAAGTTTTTAAAAAGCTAAAAAGTAGTTTTAAAAAAGTATTTGTGGATTAAATTATGTCTGAGATTTGTTTTAAAAATAATACAAAAGTGGAAGAGTGGGCAGGGATAGAGATGAAATAAGATTAGCCATTCTGTTATAATTGTTGAAGCCAGGTGATATGTTCATGGGAGTTCATTACAGTACTCTTTCATATATATTTGAAAATTTGGATAAGTTTAAAGAGGAACCAAAAAAAATCTTGCTTCTCTCTTTAAAGGTAGTACTTTTAAAGAGTATAACAGAGAGTAAAGAGCCAACTGTATCAATATTACTAAAATTTTCAGGACCAAATGAAAATCAGGGCTTTCCTTTGGTATGTTAATTAATGAATTCATGAGATATAGGCATATGGTTTGAATTTTAAGAGCACAGATTGGTTTGCTAAGTGCTATTACACCATCAACTCTTAATTAACTTGACTGACTAGATCATTGCTCGCCGTATCCTTCCTTTACAAATGACAACACATAGATGTTCAAGTGATTTTGTTCCTTATGTAGCAATAAAATGGCAGAACAGAGAATGCTGGCAAAATATTTTTTTGGTTTATTCTTTTCTCGTGAACTAAGTACTAAGGAGGAAAGTCAAAATAATCTAAATAAGCCTTAAAAACACAGACTTTAATTGTCTTCCTTTGCCATTGGGGGGGGGGGAAGTGTTTCAAGTTTAAACAAAAGTTTCAGATTTAAGTAAAAATTACTTTAAGATTCTTCCGGTTTCTAATTCATGAAACACTGATCCTATGTCTACAGAGTTCTCCTTGGACAGGAAGCTATTAACTTCCTGATACAACAATGTACATATGACGGGAATGCAACTAAAATACACTGTTAACTAACTGGCCGTAACTACTGGGGTCAAAAGGTGAGCTGTAGGCTAGAGTTTTTACTACTGAGCAATGTGACTGGGATAACGCACCTAACGTCTGTGATTTAGTGTCATGTGTCAAAGGTACGCATTTTCAAACTTTGACGTTTTACACCATAATGCAGCACACACATAAATCTGTGTATTACTGAAATAAAGTTTATACTTTTAACGTGAATTTTACCCTGGTGTTTCCTATTTTATCTTGTTTCATTTTTCAGAATGTCACGAATAACCTAAATTGATTTCAAACTACCAGTTTCTAAGATCCTGGATTATACCAGCTTTAAGGTCTCTTCTGTTATTTTGGGATTCTAACATTGGGTATAAAACATTCAGTCTTCTATTCAGGTGGAAATCAAACCAGTTCAGAAAGTAAGTCTTCAAAAATCTTATAAGCTGAAGTATATTTAAAACACTCTAACAGAAGAACTATAAGATTGTGCAATACCTTTAACATAATTAAAATCTTAAAATGACCTACTAATTTTTTTTTTCAGAACTCAAATATCTCCATGGCTAATCTATAGATTCTACCAGTCAAAGAAGCTCTATCTTCAAATCAAAGTAAATAACTCCTATTAGACTCCCAGGAACACAGAAAATCAATAGATGACTAATTCCAGTTATTAACTCCAAATACAAAGGATTACCAAACCACAAACATTCTGAGAATTTTAGGTGCATCAAGTAAACCAGAAATCGTTTTTACAAATGTTAAATATAAAAGTTCTTATTTCCAAAAGCTACAGTATTCAATGCACATGGCTCATTTAAGCGTTAGCCAAAGAAATCAAGTTCATAATTATATGCAGTGCATTTAAGTCTTTGAAATGGGTATGCTAAATTTAATAGGAATAAAATTTTTCCTTCCCTCAACATTATTTTTTTAAAACTACATACCTATCACATTGCTCTTTTAATTCTAATTGCATATTCAAAAAAGTGTATATTTTATAAATCTATGTCAACATACAGTCTTCAGGGAAACGAAAAAAATTTTCATGTGTTTACTTTTGTAGCAACAGAAAAGAGAATATGCTTACACTACAATAGTTAAAGCATGATCTTCATGATAGTTCTAAGATATGTCTGTTTAATGCAAAATTATTAGTATTTTTAGGAACAAATTAGAATACCTTGAAGTCAAATAGTTTTCCTCACACATTCTTTACAAAACCCTTTAACTAAATTTCTTCTTCCTCAACCTGACCATGAGATCTCTCAGTATTTGTCTCTGATATGTATAATCTGTGCTGCCCCTAACATTCAACAAATTCAACTGAAATTAGAATTCCCATGAAAGAGTTTGGATTATATCACTTCACAATTTTTCTGAGTATGCTAAAGAATTTGATTTTTTAAAAAGCGGTCTTCAAAAGTAAACTGTTTTCCTATGTTGTGCATCTCTTAATTTTATTTAAAATTACCTAGTCAAATATTCCCAAAGAAGGATAAAAATTAACTTTAAGACAATGACTAATAGGTTTTTGTTTACATTTGCAATACTGCAGTTCCAGAGATCTCCCTACATCCTAAAAGTACCACAGAATGGCAAATAATTAATGTAACTGGTTTAGAACACATTTAAGATACAGTGTATATTTTTCAAGTATCAAATTCTTTAAAAATTCAGATGTGAAGATTTATCTTCTGTTAGTTGGTATGCAAAACCTAAATCTGACATTAACGTTAATAGAAGCTACAATCACTTGTTTCCTTCTGTGAAATCCTATGGTGAGATCACCTCTAAGGGTAAGGTTAAGCTTGACTTCAGAGTAGGAAGCCTGTTTTTAAGAAAATGTATAAACCCTCAACAACATAGATGAAAGTGGAAACCAGGTTAATGTAGGGGTCTTTTATGGGTTGTGTTAAAAAAAATAAGTAGAAGAGATTTACAGTAAGATACTGTTTCACTGAAAAGTGATTTGTGCTGCAATTAACTTAGTAGCCCTTTTGCTACATCAAGAAAATGTTTGTTCCAGTCCATCTAGCCATCTATAAACTATAAATTATTTAAAAACCTTTTCTGAGGTTAACAGAAACAGTTTAAAAAAAAAAGACTGACCTGGAATTTTCACTCAGGGTAGTAACTTTGCAAGATTTATCTGAAACCAAGTAAGTTTCCATATTTACACATTTACTTAATCATGATGGTTGAATTGAATCTGTACCTATGTGAAAATGGCAATGCATTCTGAGTTGGTTCAGCCCTTGGTTCTGAGTTCTGTGTCACGTCAGGTGCTCTTTCATCATCTGTTCCATTGATACTTTCTGGTGTTAAAGGAGACTGAAGATCCCCGCCTGCTGATTCCTTTAAAAAAAGGGAGGTAGGGGATAAAAGTGTTATGCTTTTGTTAAAATACACAAGATTATCTCAAGTTAAGAGTGACCCTGATGTATGCTTACTTACAAACCGTATTTCCATTGAAATTTGAGTCAAAGATTTAAAAAATAAAATTTAAAGGAGAAATAATTTTTTAAAGCAAAGCAACTCAGAGAACTATCTGAAACAATACAATTAAGAAATGTGAAGATAACACAATTCAAAAATATAGTTTCAAAGAACTGAAAAACTTCTGGGTTTATATAAGCAACTAACTGTTTAGAAGAAAAGATATTCAAAGAATTACTCAAGAAAAAGAAGATAGCACAAAAATTAGAAGAAAATGTGATTTTACTTGGGGAAGTAGGAAGGCAAAGGGAAGAAAGAAATCTTCAAGTTTTAATTTTTTTATCTGCCCTACTTTTCAATTCCAGAGGCATCTATGAAAGCAGCCAGAAATCTCTCCGTAACATACACAAAGTTAAGTGTATTTCAGCTTTTCTTGCCTGCTGTTCATAATGGAATTATTTTTCTTCACAAAATTTCCTGTCATTTCTACTTTTAATTAAGATTTGTCTATCGTGGCAAACTTAATTTGTTACTCTAGAAAATAAGTGGACTTTAAAATGCAGCTCAAACTGACACTTATCATTGTGACTACATCATAAGAGTATCTAAATTTGATATTAGTAGAGATCAGAATGAGAGCTCACTGGATAAAGCTGTTAACCAGGGGCGATCTTAGCACAGGATCATTGGTGGACCCCTGGGATCTTGGGGCACTAAAACTTCACAACTGAAATATTAGGCTATGCTAGTGAAGAAAATGAAAAAGTCTGTGTCCAACAAGAGAGTGGGTAGGTATGGTCACAATCTGCCAGCTTGAAAGAATATAGGTTTTCTTCAAACAAAAACAAGACAGACATGTGGGGTGGCTTAGTTTCTAAACCAGGTGACTCCTGATCTCGAGTCTACCCACTTTGAGGGTAAAGTTTACTTAAAAAAAAAAAAAAAAGAAAAAAAAATATGTGTAATACAGGGAACTGCTTAGCATTAGAAAAATATTAAAATATAAGGAAATATCTACATTGTGATCATTTATATGCTTTACATAAAAATACTGCACATGAAGCAATACTAAGAAGAAATACAGAAAACATTACTGTGGTGAGGGTGACTTTCTTTTGGAGGCTTCTGGTATTAAATTATATGTATTTTATTTCATATGTAAATATTTTAACTATTTATACCGTAATGCTATTAATCATACAAGCTTATTAAAGGTCAAAAGGCTACTTTCTTGATTCCACCTTATCAATGAACTATTTTTCAATTATTATTATTTTTTAATGTTTACTTATTTTTAAGAGAGACAGAGACAGAGGGCAAGCAGGGGAGGGGCAGAGAGAGAGGGAAAGAGACAGAATCTGAAACAGGCTCCAGGCTCTAAGCTGTCAGCAGAGAGCCCAACGTGGGGCTGGAACTCGGAACAGGTGAGATCATGACCTGAGCCAAAGTCAGACACTTAACCACCCAGATGCCCCAACTATTTTTCAATTATTAATGCAACCTCCACATTGACCTTTAATTTCATTCTCCTAAATCTTTTTGTTTCTAGTAACTAATGGTCAGTGCAAGAATAAGGTTACAGTATAAAGTGGCAACATAAAACGGAAACCATATCCAAAATGGGTGTTTCTAGGTCAATTATAAATCTCGTAATTAACCAGAAAAACTTTAAGCAGCAAGAAGAAATAAATCAGGGCTATTTCTCTCCAAAAAAGGCCATACCAAACTAAAATAATCAAGGTGGACTGTCCAATCAGCTAAATAGTAAGTTGATTCAGCAGAAATGAGAACAGAAACAAGTTACCCTGTTAACCTGAAAGGGCATAACCAGCATTTCCAACTAAGGATTCACCTAGAGATATGCTAGAATCGACTGAGTGTGAGGGACAAAAGTAGATCAGGACTAAAAGAAAGAGAAGAAAGAGGGATAGTGGTTTGATTTCTGGTTTTTACCGTCTTCTGGGGGAAAATGAGTGTTTGGGTGCATAGGTCTTGGCGGATTAGGAAAAGTGATGCTACTGAAGTAGAAAAACCATTTCAGAGGCAGGAGAAAAAGGAAAGAAGGAAGGAGAAGAAAAAAGAGATTGAGGCTGCAACAATTCCGGTATCGCAATTCAGCAAGCTTTTCATCAGAAAACTTGAATATTAGGTATATTTAGTTACCCTAGACATTATATCTAAAGGGAAAACAAAAAGCCCAGAGGATGTTTAAGTAGGTTAAAAATTCAGAAAGTCAGTATTTGCTCATAAGAAAGAATTCGAACAGTACATAAGAGCATAAAAGAAAAATGAGGTTCCTTTGACTTCTAATTACCCCACAGGTAATGAAAAGTATTCTGTGAAACCTTCCAGAAATTTCACATATGCTGAAAATAGCACGGTGAAAGTTTTTTTATTTAACATGTTCCAACATCTAGTTCTTTTTTAATCTAAATTCTGTCTAATTTTTAAAAATGTTTATTTACTTTGAGAGAGAGAGGAGAAAGAGAGAGGGAGTATAACTGGGGGAGGGGCAGAGAGAGAAAGACAGAATTCCAAGCAGGCTCCCTGCTATCAGTGCATAGTGCAACACAGGGCTTAATCTCATGACTGTGAGATCACGACCTGAGCCGAAATCAATGGTCAGATGCTCAACTTACTGAGCCACCCAGGTGTCTGTAACTTTTGAGTAATGTCTTAAACATTCAACTTCAATTATTCCTATTTTTTAAAAAAAACTACCTTACATAAAATCAACGTTTTATATCTTTAATTCAAATATTAAAATAAAAACTTGGAGATATATTTATTTGACTATAAGCTTTTCAAAGGAAAAAAAGGATAATCTGTCTTTAGAAAGCTATTCTTTTTTTTTTTTGTTTCTACAGTGCTGTTTAGTCTTTCTTTTTTATTTTTTTTTTTTGAGAGAGAGAGAGAGAGAGAGAGCGTGTGCGCAAAGTGGAGGGGGGGAAGAGAGAGAGGTAAAGAGGGAATCTCAAGCAGGCTCCACACTCTCAGAAGAGCATGACATAGGGCTTGAACCCACGAAGCGTCAGATCATGATCTGAGCTGAAGTCAGATGCTTAAAAGACTGAGACACTCAGGAGCCCCTAGAAAGACATTCTTAAGCTAATATGGCCATTTTAAGGAAAAAAATTATCAACCAATACCTTCTTTGATATATGTGTATATGTATATCTGTGTACCAAAGTTGTAAGAGAAATGAAAAATGTGAAACATAAAATATAAAAAACTGAGTTAGATGTAAGATTCAGGAAGTGTGTCTTAAGAATTTTCTTTCTATCCATTTATGAAGTGGTAGGATATCCAAAAATAAAATAAACCCACAAAAACAACAGTAAAAACCCACAAATGGACATATTTGGAATCACACAAAAAAGGCATGACCTGGGCCATCTCTCCAGGACTTAGGATGGTATCACCAACCTCCGCTCTGGTGTCTCAGCACGAGGGTGGGCGGGAAGCACAATTCCCCAGTAGACTAAATACCACTAACTTCGTCCATTCAATTCCAATAAAGACTAAATTAAATTTCCTGTTATAGTTCCAGCCTTTCTGACTTCAGTAAAACAGAGCCTCTTCTCTTTATCACTTAATAAACATTCAAAGAAGACTTATTCTATTTCCAGCCACTTGTATTTAAATGAAGATGAGGATACTCTTTTCTGGACAGAGGCTCCAACAGGAAAAACTGAACGACAACCTTAGGATTTTGAGTTCCCATGGCTGTGGATATGGAAAGAAATGCTAGGGAAGAGACACAGAAGAAGAGCCAAAGGATATATAAAGAAAGATAAGGCTGACATAAATGCCAACTATCGCAAACCAATCCCCTTACCTGGTCACCATTTCTGAAATCCCACCTTCTGAAAACCACAGAATTTCTTTGTATCCTGACTCTTGATTAACTCATGCTCTTCCTTCCCTAAGTAACGTGTACTGACTGACTGATGCACAGTGTTAGTGGGTTAATCTCTATTCTACATATTTTTGCACCTACCAGCTGCATTAAATGCTTACCAAGAATCAGCTGTATTTGTCGCAACATAACATGTTTATGCCAATTGTATTCATATAATTATATAGTTCAATTACATATTATACAAACTAATAAAATCTGAATGCAAACCAAGAGTGATTATTTTGACGAAAATCAAACTACACGCCTTGGAATGACTAAACGGTAAATAAAATCCACTACTGAAGTCAGTGTATATAATAAACTGTTACATAACATACATAATACGCCACCCATATAGTACCAGAAAAATGACATAAAAGTCTACTATCACACTCAGATTTCTTTGCAAGTGGCAAGGGTTAGTTCTACTTAAAGGAAAACAGGAAATTGCTGACAATTAATGAGGATGGTTTGTGTCACAAAGATAACATGAATTCCAACCAAGATTCATATTCAAAGAGAACACTTCACCTTTAAATAAAAATACTGGCGAATACATAAAACATAGTATTATTGAATTTTATTTTACAAGTTTTTAAAGATTTTTTTTAAAACATCACAGGAACTGACTTTTTTCCACTAACTCATCAACTACTAATGTTGATTCCAACAGATAAGAGGTGCTGTACATCCCCTCATTCCCTCAACCCAACCCGCACCCTTCTGGCCTGCTCCTTAACCTTGTATCTTCTGGCCCTCTGCCATGATGCTACGTTGTGAGGTGCAATCTCTCCACACTCAGCCTATACCAGGAAGCCAATCACCTTAATGATATGCTCATTAGCATCATCCTAATTGTGGGGAATTCCTTGACCTTCCCACAATAACTATCTTGCCAATTTCCAATTTCCCATCAACTCAACCATCATTCTCTATTCTTATGTGCCGAAGCTACCAAGTGCTCTGAGAGAAAATACCATTAAATATGCTGATTAGTGTCATGAAAATAACCCTGGGC